TCCCGCTCCGAAATGCTGAAGGTGAGGGGGTGGCCAAGAGCACGGATTTGAGGGGATTTTAGAAGAGTGCGGGGAAAGGGGAGGTTGCAAGGGAGAGAAGAGTCCCGGAGTGGGCATGAAGGGAGAAGGGAGACCCAGAGAGATGCAGGGAGAGGAGTCATCCAGCGGGGGGAATGAAGGCAGAGAGAGGGGAGACCCAGAGGGATGCAGAGAGAAAGGAGACCCAGAGGGCTGCAGGGAGAAAGGGGACTCGAAGGCTGCATAAAAGACCTGAGACCCAGAGGGATGCAGAAGAGAAGGGGAACCCGGGAAGGTACAGAGGGAGGAAAGGCTTGGAGGCTACAAGGGAAAGGGGAGACCCGGAGGGGTGCAGGGGGAGAGGGGACACAGTGGCTGCAGGGGAGAGGTGAGGATGCGGGGAGACTTGAGTTCTGATGGGATGCAGAGAGAGGGTGGACTTGGAAGCTGCCAGAGGAGAGGAGACACTCGAAAGAGACCCAAGAGCTGCAAGGGAGACTGGACACTCCGGAGGTTGAAGTGAGAGGGGAGACCCCGGGACTAAAAGGGAGAGGGAAGGTGGAGAAGGGTATAGGGACAGCTAAGATCTGAGGGCTGCCAGGGAAATTTGGGGCTGCAAGTGTGAAGAGAGATGCAAGAGGCTGCGAGGAGATGGGGAGGCAGCAGAGTAGTGGGGACATGCAGGGGTTGCGGTGAAGGGAGATGCAGAGGCTGCAAGGGAGAAGAGAGATCCGAGAGGTTCAGAGACTGTGTGGAGAGGGGAGACCTGGGGGCTGCAGGCAGCCCCACCACGCCTGGTCCCCTGTCTCTTCTCCCCATCTTCACTGCAGGTCATCTGGGGATGCACCACCCCTAAAACAGGCAGCTGCGCTCCCCGCAAGAGCCTCAGGCTGGCAGTGGGGTCAGGTGGATGTCTTTACTTCTTGGGTGGGAAAGTTGACAAAATGTGAGATGGATACTCACACGTTTATATATAGTACATATTGTCTATTCCCATCGCCAAGACTGGACCCTGGGAGGTGTGGGATGGGAGTGTTTTCTGTGTGTACAAGTGGGGCTGGCTGCGAACAGCCCTGGGGTGAAGAGAAAAGGGAGCTTTGAGTTAAAAACGGCTCCGGTTTTTAGGACTCCGCAGGCCACTTGCTGCTGGTTTGATCAGTGACCCAGAGCTCTCCAGAGCTGTAAACATCACGTCTGCCCCAAAGAGCCTCCCCCCCTCCCCTCCCCTTGCAAATTCCTCTTGCAAACGTAACCTGTGCTGGACTGAGTGGAAAAAGGCGTTATTACCTCCCCAAATAACAGAGATGCGATTGCAGGCCAAGCTTGCAGCTCTTGGGGTGGGGATGGGGGGGGTAGATAATTTCTACTTCTCCCTAGTGGGGAGCGGAAATAACCCAAACTGTGATTTTTTTTGCAAGGCAGAGGGCAAAGCGCAGGATGGCATTGGCTGGTCAGGGTTAGTAAGAGGGTTTTAGACCGAGACATTTTACACCCGACTCTTGTGGTGTTCAGCAATTCACAGGAGGGAGATAAGGGGTCTGAAATATCTAAATGGACACTAAAAGGCATGGGCAGGATTAAGAGTTGAAGGTTTCCAGTGTGCTCATGGAGAGGGGGGAGAAGCAAAGAGCTTCCAAAGATGAAAAGATAAATATCCTGAAATAAGAAGTATGCCTGGATGCTTGTAGGAGTGCTACCTTCAAGGGACACATCAAACCCAAATCCGAGTGGGCATTAAAGGAAAAACAACCCGTGGCGATGAAATCCTGCCTCCCTTGTAGTCAGTTGGAGTTTTGTCTCTGACTTCAAGGGAGCCGGGAACTCGCCCCTAGAGGTTATTAAAATCCTTTGTAATAACAGCACTTCTCTAGTAACCCTTTACACCAAGCGCTGGGCTCGGGATAACCAAAAAGCAGCCTGAATGGAAAAATACACTGGAGATGGTAGAAAAAACACCCAGAAATATTCTTTCTCCCTGACTGAATTGCTCCCCAAATGGGGGTATCGAGGCAGAAAGCTGTAAGTGGGGCAAATCCAGAGCTGGGTGTTAGGTGGGATGGACTTTTCCTAGGGTAAGGGATTCCCCAAAGTGGTGCCCGGTCCCATCCCAAATGCCTTGGAGAGGGTGGCATGGAGGGATTTGCGTTCATGGTTGGGGATGCCAGTGTACCATGGGATGGGCTGCGAGATGCCAGAAACACGGAGCCCTTGACAGGGGCGCAATGTGGTGGGCAGGTTTTTTCTGCTTATTTTATTCTTGGCTTTCTCCTGGGGTGGGAAACCACTGCAAAGACCACAAAAAGCAGCCCGGAGCAGTGTCTGAAGTGAATAACTGAAGGGAAACCCATTTACTGCTATTAATACCACTGCTAAAATAAGCAAGCCATGCCCCAGAGCCAGAGAGGACCCCCCCCAAGAATTTAAGTCCTGCACCTGGTTTGTTTATTTGTTTGGACTGAAGAAGGGAAAAACAACAAGAAAAAAATTAAGGGAGGGGGAGATCCTTGAGAGCTTTTGTCTCCTGGCTGCTCCTCAGAGACAGAAATGTGATTTTATGTTTACGAAGTCGCAGCCCTTTCTGCGAGCTCCAGGTGCCCGAGGACCTGGAAGAAGTGAGAAGCAGAGTTAATGAGGTGAGAAGGAAAGCAGAAGGGAAAGAGCAAAACACATTTGTTGTAACAGATCAGACCGAAACATCTGCAGGGCATGGGCACCTGCGTGCAGTCGGGAAGTGCAGTTTTTGTAATTTGTCTCCTCTGCAGAAAAAGAAGAGGGTGGGAAGAAATCTGGAGAGAAGGAAGGGAGAGATGAATAGCTGAAGATTTGGGGTAGTCTAAAGATTTATCTTTTTTTTTCCTTTTTCCCAAGCAGTTACACCAACCTTTTGGAGAAGGGGGGGAAGTGAATGAAATTTTGCCATGTGCAGGGTTAAATGGAAACACACAATCAGACCATAACTCAGGGTGTAATTCAAGCCATACGGTTTGTCTGTCTGTTGACTCGAAAGGTTGTATCAAGGCTTTGCAAAGGAGGGGACTGCGAGGGAATAATCCAAACTTTTTTGTGATTCATAAACCACTCCTTTGCAATTTGGATAATAGATCCTGCTCCGGCAGGGGGATTGGACTAGATGATCTTTTGAGGTCCCTTCCAATCCCTAACGTTCTGTGATTCTGTGGTTCTGTGATTCTGTGATCTCTGTCTCGCAATGACTCGCTAAACTTCAGAGTTAACCGTAGCTCCTGCTCTCTCCATTCAGGTTGTTCATCTCCAAGGAGAAGCAACACCCAAACTGCAGGGAAATACGGCGTGCAGAAAATTAGGAAAACTCCTTTTTTTTTTTTTTTTTTTCCTTTGGAGAAGCTGATTTCCTTCAGCAAGTGGGGGACGGTGGAGAAAATGAAGCCGAGTCCACGATTTTTCTTAGCTGGTTTTCTGTCTTTGATTCTGCAGACGGGGATTTGCTATGGGATAAAATGGATGTAAGTACCTGGCAATACCTCTGTGTTTTTAAAGTCTTTGTGGGCATTGCTGGTCTCTTACCCCTTTTTTTTTTGTAACTGCTATTCGAGGCACACTGTAAAGCCATTTAAAGAGCAGCAAGCGCTGCATTTCTCCAGGCATTCACTGATTTCAAGTGTGTGTACTAGGGACTTGTACTAACAATATGTCTCCATCTTCTTTCCAAAATATGCATGATTTAGGCTCGCTTTTTCTTCTCCTCATTGATACCAAAGGAAAGGCACACACTTGAATGCTCACATGAGCCACTTAATGAAGTTTCTAGCGTTAGCTCCTTCCATGCTGGGAAACTCTCCCACCGGGAGCACTGGTTGTGCTGAGTAGGAGCTGAGAGCAGGAGGGACGGCAGCTAAGATAATGCCGCCAATCTCCAGCCGCAGGGGATGCTTGACAGATAACATGGGTTTTTTTGTGGACCTTTTAACCTTTGGATTCGATGAAGGGTGTTAAAAATGAGGCGGGGAGGGGGGAAGGAGGGTGAAGAAATGTCAGGGAGTGTGGTCAAATCTGGATTGAGTTTCCTCAGAGGTAGTGTCACTGCAAACAAAGTGAAAACATCACTATCTCATTTCTTTGCTTAAGCAAGCAATCAATTAGTTGCTTACTGCAAAATAAATAAACAAGCCCCTCTGACGCCCATCTGGTTTTACGTCCTCGATGAGTGATCTGTCTTTTCTATTCTGGTTTGAAGTTGTGCACAAAATAAATAAGAGGATCTGGGCTGGCTTCAAATGAGCTTCTTCTGTAAAAGAAAAGGCACAATAAAATGCAATGCCAGGGACAGTCTGTTGTGTAGGGTATAGTGTGTCGAGGTGAGGATCTGGGGTTGGGTGGGGAAATTAGGACAAGAGGTTCTTCTTTTGTTCCTCCTTCTGTATTATGTCTAATTCCCATTCCACTGTCCCAATCACTGTCATTTGAAGCTCTCCTCATGCCACCTTTTATAAAGGCTCTCTTAAATTTGGACATCTTCAAGTGCTGAAGCCAGTTGGATGCAGTGTTTTCACTGCCCTGCGTGTAGTCATGAGAAAGAGGACCTTCCAGATGGCGATTCACCCCCTTCAAAGAGAGGCATCCAGCACAAATGTCAAGAGATGCCCCCTGGAGATGCCATGGACTGCGAGGAGCTGATTGAGACCACACAGCCACCTTTTATATGCATGAAGAAAAGCAGGGTGAATCCCTCCTTAGGGTGTTCAAATGCATATGGTCAGGTGGGAGGAGCAGTCACCTGCTTTAGGACATTAAAATGTGCTGTCTCCATACCCTAAGGACGACCTGGTAGTAGAGGAGAGTCAGGATTTGCTCTTCATCATCTTGGCTTTACACCTTGTAGCAGTCACCACAGCTAAATTACATAGCCCAGCTATTTCTTTCTGCCACCTTCCACAAATATTTATTCTCTCAGCTCTGCATGTATCCAGAACCTTGCTTACAGTGGGCATCTCTGCAGGACTTTGAGCAGCATGCCTATGGGCTGGACTAATTTGCAACCTTTATTTCTATGCAGCACAGAAGTAAAGCTGTTTTGTGGCACTCTGATTCAGGAGAGCACTTACGTACAGACCCAAAACTGAGTGGAGAGGCTTGCTTATATGCTTGGTGCTAGAGTTCTGCTTTAAGCAGATGCTAAATCCCCACAAAGAACCTGGGTTCCTCTGAGGGGCAGGGGCAAGATGAGTTTTAGACAGAACCTGATAGCACACTGACAAGCCATAGATGTGAAAAAAGGCTGGAGGGCAGGGAAAGGTCCCTAATAGCTTTGCTGGCAAAAGCAGCCTTTTGGCTGGTAAGCGGTTAAGCTGCAAGGGCTGCTTTTTGGGATTTTGTCGGGGGACACAATTGGAAGAAAGAGGCTGTTGCTGCTCCTCCCCTTCCCAGCAGACATATCGAAAAGCGAGTGGGGAAGATGAAAGCTGGGATTAAAGTGGCATTTGAAGCATGAACTGCATCCAGATGTGCCGCAAGGGCTCCCCTCACACCTGTTTAAAACCTGACGGAGACCCGCACTCCCTGTCCCCGGGCACTTCTCTCAACTGGGATGCTGCCAGCTGGGGTTTCACAAAATTATGGTGGGTTGTTGGGTTTTTTTTTTTCATTTGCAGTTTCTTCTCTCTTCTCCACCCTTGTTTTCCTATGGAAACACAGGCCAATTTTCCCCTCCTCCCCATCACTCTTTTCCCCACTGCAGTGCTGCTGCCATCCTTGGGACTAGGGGACCATCCCTGGAAATCACAGTATCATTTGGTTGGAAAAGACCTTTACAATCATTGGGTCCAGCCATGACATGTCCGTTACTAAGTCATGTCTCTAAGGACCTCATCTACCCATATTTTAAACACCTCCAGGGATGGTGACTCCACCACTTCCCTGGGCAGCCTGGTCCAATGCCTGGATGACCCTATCAGTGAAGAAATTTTTCCCCATATCCAATCTAAACCTCCTCTGGGGCAACTTGAGGCCATTTCCTCTCATCCTATCACTTGTTACTTGGAAGAAGAAACCGACCCCCACCTCGCTACCTCCTCCTTTCAGAGGGCAATAAGGTCTCCTCTCAGGCTCCTCTTCTCCATTTTGAACAACCTCAACTCCCTCAGCTGCTCCTCATAATTCTTGTGCTCCAGACTCCTCACCAGCTTTGTTGCCCTTCTCTGGACATGCTCTAGCCCCTCAATGTCCTTCTTGTAGTGAGGGGTGTGGGTAAACTCTTGGTGAATGGAGGTCGATGATACCAAATACAGAGTAATACCTCAAGGTTGCAATTCCAACCCTGGACTCATGCTCTGGGTGTTGTAGAACCCAACCCTGCCCCTTCCCTATCATGAACAGAGAGGGGTGCGAAAAAAAGGACAGGATGAAGAGGGAGAAAAGTGCTACGTGTTGTTTTTTATTGTGGGTTTGTCCCAGCGGTCTGCTTGCTGTGCCGTTGTTGTAGGCATGGTGCCAGAGGCAGGCTTCAAAGAGGATTTGGGAGGGGACGGGAAAGATAAGGAGGCGGGTTTTGCCAGCCTGGTGGGCTGGGTTTGCAAGCCTTAGGAATAGGGAGCAACTGATACGAAAAGCGATAGGAAATTCAATTTTGATTCAGAGTGTGATGTAATTGCAGAGAAAGGGGGCAAGAAAAACACACTTTTTAGCCGTTTAGGACTTCCTTGTAACACAAATATCCCCTGTAAATTAGCAAAAGCAGAGAGAAGGTAAAAGGGAGCTATTTGTTTTATTTTATTTGGCTTATTTTTACGAGTTCTGTGGTCCAGATCCCCAGCTGTTGTAAATCGGCACTATGCCCTTCCCTGCTGTGGAGGCGTGCACTGCTGAGGATCCAGTGCGGTGCATGGACAGTCAGCATCTCACAAATAGGCCCTTGCTGCTGGAGAAATGTCTTATTTTGGCCTCTTCTGTCTAAGCTCCAGGGAGCTGTTGGGTGTAAAGTCAGAATATGGACAGATTTTTGCACGATCAGGGCTGTCATGGAGAGGCAGCCTTTCCGTTAAATGCGTAGAAGCCCCTGAGTCTTATTTTTGCATGTTACTTTTTGCAAACACTTTTCCATCCCTAGAGCAGGGGTTTTTGTATTTCTCTGTGGGCCTCAGTGCTTGTTTCAATGGGAGATGTCTTAGGGTCAGTGCATGTAGGAACTCTATTCTCTTACCAATCTCCTGCTTTCAGCTTTCCTAGGGGGAACATGGTTTTGGCCAAGCAGGTCACTGAAGCAACTTGTCTGAGTAGAGCCGAAAAACAGATAAGCACTAGAGGGAGCTGCAGCCAGATGTGCATTCCACAGAGGTCTGCAGATGTTAGGATGTCCAGGCATAGAGTGGCTTTTGAGGCACTTCTGCATCCCTGGGTATTGGCATCTCCTCTGCCCAGGTGCCAAGACACAGGTTGGACTGTCCTTCTGTGTTGAGTGTCACCATCAATGGTGGTTGTGAAGAAATCAAATGCAACAAGTTGGGTTTTTAAATTTTTTTTGCATGGTTTGCAGGATCAACCCATGACAGCAAGCGCTGGCATTAGGAATCCCATCATTTTTAGGTGGAGCTCAGTCACTTTGGGACGTCCCTGCCTGTCCCTGTTGTTGTGGCCTGGACATGTCCCATGCCATCCTTAGCTGAGCACCGGCCCCAGCTACGAGGTCAGCTTTGCTGCACAATTATATCACAGCCCTTCAGAAGCAAAAAGGGGCTCAGTCATGCATTTCGGTGAACCTGGGGTGTCCCCCAGCTCACTGACCTTGAGTAGCACCAAAGCTTTTCTACAGCCAGCAGAAAGCAAGGGAGAAAATGGAAATATTTTGTGCTTCCTGGAAAGCTCCTTCAGCTGGGGGACTGGGGAAAGATGGGACATGGGGGCACAGGTGCCTGCAAGGAGACGGTCTGCCTGGCAAGGGGGCTGCTAGATGAGCTGCATTGAAAGGACTGCAGGATGGGGATGGTGGGAGGGAAGCGGGCTGGGGGCAAGGAGAAGGGGGGACACAACGGCTTTGAAGTTTGCTCTTCGCTCCTTAGGCAGCTTGGGAAAACTTGACAGAGCTCCATGGCCTTCCTCGGTGCTCGGTGAGCCAACTCGCCGCTGGCATCAACTTCAGTCGAGCTTGGGCTGGAAGTCAATGGCCTTGTGCCCACTACTGCCAGCGCTGAATTTGGCACCGTATCTGATCTGAAAGCAGCTCTTATTTTAAGCTTTTACTTCACGGTTGGGTTTTTTCTCCCACTCCTCTCCTTCTTTCTCCTCTTTATTTCTTTTTTTTTTCCTATATAAATCACGCTTCTCTGTTTTGAAAAGGCTTTGCAGAACCACTGAAAGCATTTACCAGGGGGTGTGGTGGCTTTCCCAGCGCTTGTGGTCCCCAGGCCAGGACTGGTGCAGGGCAAAGTGACAGGGGCATGGGCTGACTCTGACTTCCCCAAGCTTAGACAAGGTCATTGTAGCAGTCCTGTGAGTCTCTTCCAGAAAACGAGGCTCCTGCAGATAAAGCACCCTCAATGTGGTCAAATGTAAAAAGCCCCCAGTTGCTGTCTCTCTTTATTGAAGTTTACCACACACTTCACTTTCCACAGCCATGTAATTTTGTCAAAATTCTTTTGTTTCACCCAAATCCCTGGAATATTAAGGAGTTTAAGAATAGGTACAAGAATGAGATTGCCTTAATAGAAAGCAGTGCAGATAATTTGGAGCAGAAGTCCATGGTTTCACCACAGTTCCTCTGCGTGAGTCACAACACACAAGGAACAATGGGGAAATGCCCTCCAGAGAGACCCTTTAAGGATGTTTTAAAGGCCACTAATGCTGAACTGCTCAGTTCAAGGAGTTTTTCTCCTTTTTTTTTGGTTGACCAGGAGCAGTGTCCTAAGCACAGTGGTTCTTGTAAACAGAATCCTGTATGGCTTTCATTGATGTCTGCTCAGATCTGAAGGTACTTCTCCCAAGCTGCTGCTTCTATGAATAGCCCTTAGCTCTCAAAGGACTTAACACTGTAGAACATTCATGTTTTCAAATGAATTTATTAACTGTCTGAGATAATTAAAAGAGTAAACGAAAGTCATGATCCATCTGTGCATCATATTTCCTCTGTAATTACGTTTATGGTTTTCTGTCAGTATCCATAACTTCAATTGAAAGCCCTGCTATGCTATATATAAAACAGGAGATGTTTGGTTTGGGGCCTGTTTATTTAAAGGGATGGGTCAAATATGTATGTTTTAAAAAGAAAGAAACAACCACCCCTCAGTTGTTCTCAGCTTTCTGGAGAATACAGGATGGGGCAGGAGAGTCGAGGGATGAGAGCACGATGTTAGCAGGAGAGAACAGTGAAAAGCAACATTTATGGGATGGCAGCAGGTAAAATCCCCATATGCTGCTTCTTGGATGAAGGGTGTGAGTCCAGAGATGTTTGTCAGGGATTTCTTTTTACCAGATTGAGGACTAATTGTTGTTCTTCCCTGAGGGCTGCTTTATTCAGGCTGGTTGTTTCCCCTCCCAATGCTGGTGGTCAACGGAGACGGGGTGGAGATGGGATAGAGACCCACCACCAAATCCCACCGTGGACATGACTTTTCTGGGGGAAGGTGATTTCCTTTCCACTGCCCTACGGATGGACTTTGTTTTCCAGCAATGTTCTTTGCAGGTGGTGGACATCCCTCCCTGGTGCTGCCAGAATCTGGGGAGCAGGGAGGGTTGATGCCTTTTTATGGGGAAGGTTTAAAGAGGCAAAAGGTGGAGAAGACATTTCTGAATGTAGGACAGAGACTGAGCAAACCTGGGCTGTCAGGGCATGGACTAGATGACCTAATAGGCCTCTCACACTTCTGATTTATAAATGCACTTTTTGGTCTCAGCAAGCAACTCCAGTAACTGTGAGTTTTCTTTTCCATCTCCATTACCCTTTACTTTTTCCTCCCGATGCTTGGAGATGTTTCCAATTATAGGTTCTCACAAGCAAAGGCATGAAGTTCAGGCCTGGGAGATGTTCAGAAAACACCTTCCTGTGTCTTGCAGTTTCATTCTTGGCGGGCTCCCCGGAGCTCGGCTCATTCGACAAGAAGCAGCCATTGCTGCCATTTACTGAGCTCTCCCCAGTGGGGCCTTGGTCCTTCCTCTCTTGATCTGGCAGATCTTTTTCCCTCTTCCATGAAGTGAATTTCTTTCTTGTTCCATCACAAACCTGCTTCTCTACTGGTGATCATTTCAGCCCACCCATAATAACATGATCTCGTTGTATCATATCCCCTTTTTTTTACAATGGGGATGAGTTTCTGTCTGAATTCAGATCTCATCCCAGATTGTAGGTGGTTATTTCTGCTGTTCCTGACTTATCTGTAATGATGAGATGCAGGTGGCTCAATGTGTCATAGAATCATAGAATACCAGGTTGGAAGGGACCACAAGGATCATGTAATCCATCCTTTCAAGGTAAAAGTATCGTTTAAATGAGTTCAACGAGATGTAGACTTTCAGAATTTTTAAAGATTCCAAAGACCTCTATACTGGATTAGAAAATATGGTGCAGGACCTAGGAGATAGATACATCCTTCTGGAGAGGCAGGTGAAGCATCTCAATGGTTCTGAAGTGTCACTTGGCACCTCTGATTAGAAAACTGAGCTGATGCCCCATAGCACAGCATCTCTGAGAGACCTGGAACAATCCTCATTTGCCTGAAGCTTAGGCTGTGAAGCTCTCTCATTTAGTCTGCCTCATGCTGCCTGCTTATTTTGCTGCTGGGATGTACTGTGCTGGAGTATTTATCATTTTTACTCTATTAGTGACGAGCTGCTTTGGCCTTTTGCCTGGTTTGCATTTCAGCCCATTCCTGAGAGTTGCTGATAGGCTTTCTGGGATAAGTTTTCACAGTTTTCTGGTGCCAAGTGCTAGGGGTTGCACTCACCTCACCCAGCTCTGTACTTATCCAGTCCAGATGTCCGCATACGAGCTCGGTGCCTGTGTTGCCTCTATAAGCTGTGCAGAAAATGCACACTTCTAGGGCATGATGTTATCCTACTGTAGATCTCAAAAGCACATTGGGCTAATTACTCCCTAGATTTGGGTTTTGGTTTCCACAGGCTGAAGAAGGACCCCGAAGGACTACCATGACTTTCACACTGAAGAGGTTTGCAGTCGGGTGGCATTCATACTGTCCAAAGACTCATGCCTCCTCCTTAAGGACATGATATACCTGAGCACCCAGAATATCACCAACAGATTTTGTGTCCTCCAGCTCAGGTCCAGCACTAGTTCGTATCTAAGGCAGGATAAGTTGCCTTCTGGAGGTGCCCCTCTCTGAGTAGGGAGTCTTACATAAGCAACAGTGTGCAAAGGGACCAAGATGAGCTACAGAGCAGAATTTCAGGCAGTTAAATACTCCACTTTCCTTTTCCTTGAAATTCATTGGCCAGAACTTCTCTTTGCTGTATATTTGATGGACCTCTTTAAATATATGTATGATGTATATATTTGCATAGTCATCAAAGTGGTGGTTTCCCTTCCAAGTTTGCCACCGATTATCTAGTGCCAGAAACACCAAACTCCAGTTGCCTGGGAATTTGTCAGTGCAAACCTACTTAGCCCTAGCAAGGATCATAGCTTTTCCCTGCTGGAAAAGCAGTTGGGGTTAGTAGTTTTGTGCAGCCTGGAGAGAACTCCAACATACACAGCAGCTGGTTCAAGCCAACCTTGAGGGAGTTGGTGGAACATAGATGTGTTTTCCTGAAAACTGGAGATCAGAGCTAATACCCCCGATCTTGGTTAGGTCTCAATTTTAGCTCTGTTTCCATCTCATTTAACTTCTGAAGGATGTGGATGTTGCAGTAATAAAGAGAAATGTGCCCAGAAATGTGTCTGCTAATAAGCCAAACTAACCAAGATGGCTTAGGATGAAACTGAAAGGCAACACATTTAACAAGGCAAGAAGGAAATATGTGTTAAGGCAGTTGTGTTGCCAGGATCAGATGCCAGTTACTGATGCAGCCAGCTAGAAAGTTGTTTTATGGGAATGAATAACATTTATGACTGCCCTAAGCGGGCCATAAAGATACAAAGAGAGTTACACACCAGGTTTCTGCTGATCGCTGTGGGTGCTTGGGAAAGAAGAGCACAGCCCTCCAGGCCTCTATGATGCTTTTTAAATTTTATTTCCTTTTTAACCTGGAAACATTGGCAATTGCACACTACAAGAACCAATGGGATCTTTGGGAAGTTGTTGGATTTTTCCATGGTAACATACATGCTGGTGCTAGTGGATCCCTTCTCAGTTTTGACCATAGTACTCTCTTTGCGCATACTCTCATTATGCTTCTGCACCACATTTTTGGAGACTATAGAGACTTATCTACATGCAACAGTGATGGAATTGGTGGAGGCCTTTGGTGTAAACTTTAAGAGAAAGCATCTGTTTTGTAAACTTTGTGGCTTTTCCCTAGGCCTTGTAGGGGATTTTTTTCCATAATTAATTACATGACATTTAGCATAATCCTTAGAGAGTGTGTGAGACAGATGCTGAATGCAAAACAGTGATAACACTAACTTGCCTTTTTTTTCCCTAAATACCAAAGCCTTGGGAGATCCAGCTTTCTGTTATCGTGGAACTGATGGGTCATTTGTCACTCTGTTGGGAGGTCCATCCTCTTCATTCTTCAGCAAAAACCCTTCCCATAAGGATTTACACACTCAGCCAACTTGGCGTATGCCCCAGGAGCTTTGTTCAGGCTCCCCTAGATGGTGGAGAGAAATGTACACTTCTAGAGGGTGTTTCTTCCCACCTACCCTAAACACCTACTTTAGATGAGATAAATCACTCTTAAAAGTTGCCCATTTCTCTCCCCAGCTTAAACTAAGCACTTATTCGCAGGTAGCTTAAATTAAGATGAACACAGACCAAAGCATCCACTGGACTGGAGGTAGTGAAGAAATTAATATTGACTTGAATATTAACTTTTTTGGTGGGTTTTAATGCCTTTTTGCATGTGCTTGTCTCCTCAGAGCTCTGTCCAAGACTCCTTCGGCTTTGGCCCTGAATCAAACCCAGCACTGCAAGCAGCTTGAAGGCTTGGTGGTTTCCCAGGTGCAGCTGTGCCGCAGCAACCTGGAGTTAATGCAGACCATCATCCAGGCAGCACGGGAAGTGATAAAGACCTGCCGTAAAACTTTCTCAGACATGCGGTGGAACTGCTCTTCCATTGAGCTGGCTCCTAACTACCTGTTGGACCTTGAGAGAGGTAAACACTACTGCTGGCTCAGCCAGGGACATGAGTGAGTAGAGTCAGCCAGAGTTGTGTGTATGCGTGCTGGGAAGGGTTGCGCTGGCAGGGAAGACATGGAGGGTCTACATAGCCTATTTGTCCTGTTCTCTGAGACCATGCTCGTCGTTATGGTGCCAGTCATGCCCAAGAGCTCTTGACTCCAAGACCTGGTGTCCCACAGCTCTTACAAAGCATGCCACTAATCTGGTCTGCTCATTAGTCATGGTTTAAACCAGCTGCTCACTCAGTCACCCTCAATGGCATGAGGAGAGAATCAGAAGAGTAAAAGTGAGAAAACTCGTGGGTTGAGGTAAAGACAGTTTAATAAGTAAAGCAAAAACTGTGCATGCAATCAAAGAGAAACAAGGAATCATAGAATCATTAAGGTTGGAAAAGACCTCTAAGATCATCAAGTCCAACCATCAACCCAACACTAAATCATGTCCCGAAAATTCATTCACAACTTGTCATCGGCAGGCAGGTGTTCAGCCAACTGCAGGAAAGCAGGGCTCTATCATGCGTAACAGTTACTTGGGAAGACAATAGCCATCACTCCGAACATCTCCCTCTTCCTTTTTCTTTCCCCAGCTTTATATGCTGAGCAGGACATCATATGTTACAGAATATCCCTGTGGTCAATTGGGGTCAGCTGTCCTGGCTGTGTCCCCTCCCAGCTTCTTGTGCACCCCCAGCCTACTCACTGATGGGGTGGTGTGAGGAGCTGAAAAGGCCTTGACTCTGTGTGAGCACTGGTCAACAACAACAAAAACATCCCTGAGTTATCAACACTGTTTCCAACACAGGTGCAAACCATAGCCCCATACTAGCTGCTGTGAGGAAAATTAACTCTATCCCAGTCAAAACCAGCACATCATCTCATTACGAGTCATGGTGCACTTGTTCACAGCTGTGGAGCTGCTGTTCAGGGCACACAGACTTGTCAAGCAGTGCACGCTATGCATCAGACTGAGCAGCCAACTCTCTTATGGGTCAGAGCATCCTTGCATGCTCTATGGCCTCCCACCACCTCCGCCAGCTCCATGCAGACCAGATCCATGACCTGCTGGCAAGCAGCATCTGGCACAGGGGCAAAAGGATGCACAGGAATCTGTGGAGGGGCTTCTTCACATGCTCCAAGAGCAGACCACACCACAGTGAACAAGTTTAATAAGTCCATGTGCCTATTTGCCCTGTTGGGATGTTGCCTTATGTTGAAGAGCTCACTTAGGAGATGTATTCCAAGCTGGTGATGGCATGGGAGGTCTCAGCTGCAGTGAGCCGATGTGTTTGCTGTCCAGTGAGGTATAGGTTGTGTGGGTCTCTTTTTGGGGAGCATTTAGCTGTCCCAGGAGGCTGACCTGGAGTTCTTGTCTCTTCCAGGCACAAGGGAGTCAGCATTTGTGTATGCCCTTTCTGCTGCTGCCATCAGCCACACCATTGCCAGAGCCTGCACCACCGGGGACCTCCCTGGCTGTTCCTGTGGTCCCATCCCAGGTGAGACACCTGGACCTGGGTATCGATGGGGAGGATGTGCAGACAACCTCAACTATGGTCTTATCATGGGGTCCAAATTTTCAGATGCTCCCATGAAGATGAAAAAAACAGGATCACAAGCCAATAAACTGATGCATCTGCACAACAGTGAAGTAGGGAGACAGGTAACAAATCCACGAGAGTTATTGTAATTGTACAATCGTCTGCAGTGGTCGGTCGCTCTGTAAGGTTCAGTGTCTCTATCAGCTAGCGAAAGGATCAGGTTTCTTCTAAATTACTCGGAACTCCTTTGGCCTGCTGAAGACTGTGGCTATATAACTCACGCAGGGTCTCAGGAGGTCCTGAATGCTATTATCAGCCCTATATAACCATGGGTGGGATGTCTCATTGCCACCCTTTCCACAGCCAAGGACGGCTGTGACGTGCTCACCTCAGAAGCTGTGGTGGGGATGGGTCCCGTCGTGCTCTGCCAAGGGCATTGTGTAGGCGAAGTGCTGTGTAAGCGTGGAGGTTGATCACCTGCCGGACGCATCCGGCAGCAGCTGCCTCCCAGCCATCCCTGCAGCCAGGAGGGCTCATTTTTGCTTTTCAAACTGTTTTTGCTAGTGATTACTCCCATATCTGGCAGAAGCTGCTTTTAACAGCTTGCATCTCACAGAGGGATAACACTTACCACGCGCGGCGCTTGGTGTGCACCGAGCTGCAACCCCATTGCAGCCCTCAATGCAGCTGGAGAAAAGGGTGGGAGACTGCAAAGCTGCCCCCTGCACCCATCTCTGGGGCTGCAGTGGTTCCCTAGGCTGGTTCTACCACACAGCTTGGTCCTTCCAGGGCTGCCTGTGCTTGGGTGCTGGAACAGATAAAACTTGGAGCACATTGAGCTTGTTGGCAGCTGTGTAGCTACGGGCTCACCTTTGCAGAGCACAACTATGTTGAACTTGCCTCCCCTGGGTTTTTTACTCTATCTGTTGGGTATTTTATTTTATTTTATTTTATTTTATTTTATTTTATTTTATTTTTTATTGGCACAAAGTCTTCAGTTTTTGTTCTAATTGCAATAGGCAAATTTTTGTATGGGACGTAGTGTTTCCATGGCTGGTGTCTTCACCCCTTCCTGGCAGCATCCTGCCATGTCCTACAGAAATGAGAGCAGTGCAGAACCAAAGGAAAATTCTCTTTCGGACCCATGGCCAACAGAAAGGCGGGGTGAGGGTGCCCCGAATTCATCAGAGCCATGACTTCTATGTTACCTAAAGCTGCTGGAGGCAGAAATGGGTGTTAATTATCTATCTATGGTCTGCTTTGATTTTTAGCTCCTTAGGAATTTAGGGGGTGGAAATGCAGCCCTGTGTAGATATCTGATTCAAAATTCAAAGTACTCTTCTGTCTGCTGTCTGCCTTGGTGAAAGCAGCCCTGAGCTGATAATGATCACCAAGGAGCTGTGGGATCTCATTCCCTTTGCACAGGAGCTACTCTAGAGTGACTGTGCAGAAATCAGAACAGCAGTCCTTTTCTATAGCAGTCCCTGCTAGGAAAGTGCCTTCTTTAGCAAGCTTGTGGGATGTCTGGAGGTAAGAGAAGGTCATTTCCTAACTCCTGCATTCCTTTTTGCAGGTCTTGAAAGCCTCTCTTGAAATGAAATGTAAGTGCCATGGAGTTTCTGGGTCATGCTCTATCAAGACCTGTTGGAAAGGCCTTCAAGAGTTGAGAGACATTGCATTGGACCTCAAAAACAAGTATTTATCAGCTACCAAGGTCGTTCACCGGCCCATGGGCACACGCAAATACCTCGTGCCAAAGGATATTGATATCAGGCCGGTTAAAGAGACAGAGCTGATTTACCTGCAGAGCTCGCCCGATTTCTGCATGAAGAATGAGAAAGTGGGGTCACACGGGACCCAGGACAGGTGAGGGTTTCTGCAGTGGGTGCTGACTATACTCAGCCCCAGAAAGGGAAGGGGAAGAGGGGAACATCTATGAGTAAGAGGCAAATAATTGGGGAGGTAGCACATGCATGCAGGTAAAGGACGTCCGTAACATATGATGTTGCTGTGGCCAAGACAAGGCTGCAGACACCTCTTGCATTATCCAGGCAAGCACAAGATACCTTCTGAAGTCCCCTAAGTGGCTCACCTCTGCAGGAACTTGTCATGATCAAGAAGCTGGTTTTTACTGTGTTGAGTCTCTCAAAGTAATTTCTTGCAGTCATTGCTGATGTGATGAGTTGTTACTCTACTTTAAGGCTCCTCTAAGTAGGCAAGTGTTAACCCAATTAGGACCAGTGCTCCCAGGCAACCTTAAAAAAAGCTCTGTAAACTACAAATGTGAATTTTTAGGATTTTTCTTCCACTGCACTTTAAAAATCAAGGTGTGTTTATATTGCTCATGTCTCTGCAGAGGAGTTTCTTCCTCCCATTAATATTTGTGACTTAAAGTCATCATACCCAAACATCTACTGGCACAGACAGGCAGTTGACATGCCTGTCTCTTCCCAGGATCTCTTTAATTCTCTCCAAGACAAACCAATTCCATATTTCAGCAGTCTGACCATCTCTGGGTGGGGAGCAGACTCTTCAACCGCCAAATATTTGTGTATTTCCAGTATTTTGTAGAATTTCCAGAATTTTTTGTTAGGTGGCTGCAATGTTGAGATTTCAAGCTGTCTCATTAGTTGCTGTCTGCTGACGTGGCTTTCTTCAGGTAGCTCTTATGATTCTTCTTTGCATTTTGTGTTACCTTGTGGTTGAGACTCAGGCAGTCAAGTTGCAAGTTTATGTGCCTACCCTTTTGTGGGGTGTCTTCATTTTAATTCTTGTTGGACATAGTGGTTTTTCCATTGTGTGTTGAGAAGTTCAATGGAGTGAAGGTTTTACTATGACAGAAACCAAGTAAATGACCCAAATGCAGAAAAGATGCATCCTCTTTGGGTATCTTCAATTCATATGAAGTATTTCAAGACGGGACTTTAGAAGATATCCTTTGGCAATGGATACCTGTAACCACAACTCTGTTGACAATATATCAGCATTTAACTGGTAGAGCTGATCAGGAGATGATGACAGTTGAGTGAGACAAGGGTGTCCTTTTTTTCCTATGATGTTTTGCGGCAGTTACAGTTTTGTATTCTCTGTTAGGACCAAAACCAATGGTTGGATTGCTCTACCACAGTGTTTTTTCTGGCAGCTCTGTGGTGGGAACACCAAGCTGATGTTCATCATTAGTCCAAAAGGGGAGCAGTAATTAGCAAGTGAAGGTGCTTATGGGTCACTGAGGATTGTAGGAAAAAAAGCATGCATTGAAACTTGTTTCTGAGGGAAAATATCATTTGAGTGGAAGTGATGTTTTTGTAGATTTTTATGGATTTTGACAAATTTGTGTCTTGAAAAACACCTCTTTGTTGTGTTTTGCAACCAAAAAATTGTGGCGGTTATTTGGAAATTATTTTTATAGGAATTGTGTGAAATCAACAGGTTGTGTCAAAACCAAACTGAATGCATTACAGATTTTGCCAAGTAAAACATTTTCCATTCACTGAAATCCTTTTAAGGGGAGAGAGGCATAACTTATTCTTCATTCAATTTCATTTTACAGCAGATTTTGCCTTTTTTAACCCAGCTAAGTATGAAAAATGTGTCATGGCCTTGGATGATTCTTTTTTCTTCCAAGGATAGGAAAATGTGTATTGCAGGCATCCATTTATCCCAAGCTGGGCGACAGTGGTGATTGTGAGCCTGCCAGGTGAGGGTCCACGGGAAGTGAGATTGAGTGAGGATTTAGAGGATTGAGATATTAGGGCAGGAGGGGATGACTGTCAAAAGGAACCTATCAAGAAATGCTCCTTATCCTTGGATGTGCAAGATGGTGATGGCCTGGGGAGGGGAGGAGGGTGAGATAGTCCCATGTTGAGCTGTAGGCATCTCTGAGGCCAAGTTTTAAGATGATGTGAAGTTATGCTCATTTTCATTGCAATCCATCTGCCAGCTCTTGAGAAGATGCCTGGTGTCTCAAAATTGGCATGTGTAACACAAGCCATAGCAGCGCCTTTTCTGCTTTAAGTTAGCAGAGGAAATAAGTATAAAATGCACACAATGTGTTTGCAGATTGGTTTGTTCTTCCCGGAGGGAGTGGGGAAAAGGAGAGGAGCTTTCCTAACCTCCTCCTCCCATGGATGCTTTTTTCCCTTCTCAATTTTTCTCTCATGGATAGGACATCTAAATGTATTTTAATTGCAATGGCTCTGTTCCAGCCAGCCACGGGGCTGCAGAGATAGCAGCTAATGACAGGGATGAGGGAGAAGGAACACAAAAGGGATGCTTTTAGAGAGGACAGGGAAAAATGTGGTTTGTGCTTACTCTGCAAAGATGTAAAAACACTCGCATGGAAATAGCCCAAACAGGTTTTTATTTTATAAGTCAAGTCCCGGAGGCATCCTAACATTTTATCCATGTGCACATCAAAATTTTCTGAGGGGAGATCCCATTGTTTCCTACTAGACTAATTTTTAAGGTCTTTTATGGCAAATGCAATCAAAAAGGGATTTTTTGTGGTTGTCCCTCAGTTAATCCCTCTCCTCTCCTCTCCTCTCCTCTCCTCTCCTCTCCTCTCCTCTCCTCTCCTCTCTCCACAAACATGGATGCAGGGATCAGCCCATGGGATGCTCTCACCACACTCCAGAACACCTCTCAATCTGGGCAACTTTAACAGCTTTCCAGCCCAACTTTCTGCCTCCAAAGGGGTGCAGAGAGGAGATGACCCTGATAACAACCCCTTTTCCTGTTACTGGCTTAAAAAATCCAGATTGCTACATTTTAATTTCAAAAAATTAGTAGTTTTGCATCACATGGAGAAAAAGTCCTTTCCCCCCTCCCGCTCTCCCAGGTCTGGTGCTTGCTCAGAGCATGCTGGAAGCCGGACAGAGGTTGATGTCTCAGTTGCAACACCTTGGACATATTGGGTTTCAGCATATGCTGTAGGGAACAATCCTGCCCTGGCAGGTGGGTGGAAGGGATAATCTAATCAGTCACTTCCATCTCTCTAATTATCCCTCACATTATGCAGACTTATTGTGTGTTTTTCAGGGAGGAAAGGGAATTGAATTACCTTGTAGTGTAACTGCGCGAAAATCCACTCAGAAAACGTGGACCTGGTTACTCAAATGCCTTTCAGAGCCCTTCACTAAAAGGATTTCAAAGCCTTATTTTGAACAAGCCTGAAGTGTTTTCTGAGACACCTTGGCCTTTCTTAGTTTTGTGTTGAAATTAGAAATGGTTTGGAAACCTGCATGCCTCCAAGCACTTGGGATGTATCCAGATTTGAACTTAAGATTTGAAGCCTCTTTGAAGTGCTCAAAATCTGATTAAGGAGCTGAGTTTTGCAACTGTTGTTCAAGGCTCCTGCAAAGAGCCTTTCTGCTACTGCAGCCCTCATTGACTCCAGCCAAACTCCATGTGCTTATGTGCCACCATCACACTTTCATAGCCAATAAAATATAGTCTGGAGAAAAATGTAAAAAAGCTGATCTGTGGAGCAGTAAGTGGATTGTACAACTTTCAATACAACAAATTAATCACTGGGAAAAAAATGTGTATGTTCCCGTTTCAGAGCTTTCTTAGACAGAAGCATGCTATAAGTCATCTTTTAAAAAGGTAGTTCAGTTTCTCTTGCCTGGAAAGTTTATCAGCTTTGAGTAAATGATAAATAATAGCAGATTATAAAATTGCGATCTCTTTTCTCTTTTTTCTCTGAGAAAAGAAGCAAAAGTAATAGCCTTCTTTATCAGTAGGGTGTAATGTATCATATTTCAAAGTCTGCTTAAGGTCCCTTAAGGAATCCAAGGAAAGGGAAATTCTGCCATGCATGCAAAAGTCTCCAGCTCCTGAAGCCTTGCAGAGATAACCGAGTTGTTTATTGCTGATCTTTCCCAGAGCAGCCTTGGAGCTGTGTGAACATATTCGGGTTTTTTTATGATTAAAAATACTAGTTGTAAGGGTCTCTCAAAGTGTCTTAGGCTGATCTGTTTTCTTGTGTAGAAACATGCATGAAGTTGGTTGAGCACACATCTGCTCCTCTGTGGTGACCGCGAAGACTTAGCGGCTGGTGGTCACCTCTTTGGCCTCTTGTAGTCCAAACAGCCAGGTTGACCAAAGTCTGCAAAGAAAGGATGCAGCAGTTTTCAATGTTCAGTGACAGTCCTTTGCTTTGGTAATACTTGTTTCCTGCCATCCCAATAATATGCTTTGCCTTGTGTCATTATGTGGGCAGTGAAATTGCTTAGCAGAATCACTCATATTTAGATGGGAAGAGACGACAGCATTTGATGTTTGTTTTTTGTTACACCCTCTTTTAGTTTCTGTCACTCAGTGAGGGCAACAGAAGCAATATGATGAACTTTGGCTTTTACTTGGTTATAATGTATATGATGATTTAGTAATTTTTGGAACCATTATCAGGTATGCCATCCTTTTTTTCATGGGACCCAACAAATGATGAAAAAAAAATAGCAAATAATTTTTCTGTGCGTGTCCCAGAAGTTTGAGCTGAAGGAGAGTCAGGGAAATAGCAGCTTCCTATTCCTCCCACCTGCAGTGGAGGAGCTTTCCAAGGGCAATGTGCTTGTAGCCAGTGCCCATCTGGGACAGCTGTGCTTCCTTGCGCTTTTTCTCAGCTTATATCTGGGGAAGTTTGAAACCTTCCTACTTTGAGAGACCTGGATTTGACCATAAGGTTTCCTGAACAGATTTGTGAATAATAATTTTTTTTTTGTGGAAAGAGTAATTTTGCACAGTAAAATTGTAGTGGATAGTGAATTCAGGGGATAGAAAAATGCAGTCAGCTCTCCTAAATGTATTTAGTCCCTCTGCATCAAAACAGGCTTGGAATTAGGGAACATCAGGTCTGGGAATGACTT